TGTCCATGATGCTGAAGCACAAAAATTCCTCAATTTCTCGACTGATCAATGTTACTCTAATACGAGAAAAAGGATCGATGTCAGTTCCGCTTTCTGGTTTTAAGAACACAAAACACGAATACCTCTACAATTGGCACGGGACAGCGCTAGGCTTGACCCCTCATCTTAGAAACACAGAAATGTCTCTAAGAATCTGCCTCCATATTAAATAGAGCTTTGTAACTGGTCTCCCCGCAGTAGGCTGGTTCAGGTCTTCACTTCACACTGTCGATCGAAGCCTTTCTCTTCTGGCCATGTCTGAAGGACTCTTCCCAAAGGCCAAACATTGCGGTGTGAGTGCTCGTCGACTGACAGTACCAAATCGTAAACCTGGATGATGAGGGAGGTATCGACATGTTACGTCACCTGGTTGACAATCTTGCTCTTCCACCTCCTCGACACAACCTTCTGTGTACTTGTAGTGCAGAGCGTCATCTCTACCTAGCTTCCTTCTGAGACTCCGCAACCTTTGTTCTGCTACCCATTGGTTGTCTGTCAAGCTACATGTAGGTCGTTTCTCCTTGAAGGGTATGTGAAACTGGTACTGTTCCATCTCTTTGCACTTCCCTTCATTCTGTATGTCACGAGTCTTTCTGTCATTCACCGACATTCCTTTGTCTGGAATAGCAGCAGCAGGGCCATGCGAGGACCATCCAAGTACAGTATGTACACTCTCTAAGGGCATCAGGGCAAATGGTGCATCTTGCCCTATCAGGAGTCCCACTTCTTGTCCGCAGGCAAATGGTAGATCCAGCCCCTCTAAGTGCTGCCATCCTTCTAAGTCTGGCATACTGGCCATGTCATCACTCAGTAAGTCGGTCTTCCTGTTGGTAGAAACCTTCTGAAGCTTCACTCTTTCTGTCATGAGACCTGTGTCTACCATACGACTCACAACTTGAGTCTGGATCCTTCCATCAGGATCGTCCAAAGTTGATATGGAAAGTATGCGCTCTTCCCCCTGTGCTGACACTTTCCTTACTAGGCCCTCCGTGCAGAAGAAAGTGGTCGAACCAGAGTCCAGTAGAGCGTAGGTAAGAACACATCTATCTCCATCTGCTGCCTGAACATGCACTGGACCTATGGGAAGTACACATCGCATACCGGCCCCTATGGCGATTCCATAACATGCTTCTGACCCAGTTAGTATGGAGCCATTCTGTTCTGTGGTTTCACTCTGGTTAGTGGTGGTATCATACTTCAAGGGCTCTCCATGCTGGGAGAAGTCCTTGTCTGTAGCACTGACCCTGTTGGGTTGCAACTCTGAGGGCTGTCTCAGCTGGTAGACACCCTTCTCTAAATCTATAGCCACGCTGGGCTCCGTCGTCAAGGCCCCTCTTCGTTGAGAGACATCTTCACCTGCAGCAGCAGTCATGCTCTCTCCATGCTGGGAGAAGTCCTTGTCTGTAGTGCTGACCCTGTTAGGTTGCACCTGTGAGGGCTGTCTCAGCTGGTAGACAGCCTTCTCTAAATCTGTAGCCACGCTAGGCTCCGTCGTCAAGGCCCCTCTTTGTTGGGATACATCTTCATTTGCAGCAGCAGTCATGCTCTCTCCATGCTGGGAGAAAACCTCTTCCTCAGCTTTTGCCATGCTGAGTCTTGTCTGTAGCTCAAGCTTACACCTTCTATGCTTCAGCTTGAACTCCTCCAGTTCAAGAGCTTGTTGTTCATTGAGAGCTGCTGCCTGAGCTGCCAAGGCCGCTCTCTTCACCATTGCTTTGACTCTAGCTCTGGAGGTACTGCTCGTGCTGCTCTTGCCAGTCTGGCTTGCTGAATCCCCGGGCTTGACGGACTCTTGATGGGACATATCGCTCATGTTGACTTAAAGCACTGTTGTTGAACTTAATGTAGCGTATAACCAACCAATCGGACTGACTGCACTTCAATAAATAGCGACAATTTCAAGCATGATGCGATACCGTTCACAAAAGGCGGTTCAACCTGAAATTTAATCAGAATTATAAACAATCATAAATAATATGTCGATTTTCAACTGTGTTTACAAATAATCTTGCATCAAATGAGTTGTATGATTAATGCACGTTTACTGAAATTACATATTATACTCTTCCAAAATGAAATATCAATGCCCACTAAATATTATGTTCTATTTCCTTATAGCAGATGAATAAAAACCTTTAAGATACCCTAATATGGCTGCTTCAATTTCCTTTGTTCACTAATAATTGTGTGCATGATAAAACACTAACCCTTTTGGCTCTACACATATTACCCTATATTCCTCTTTATATACATGTCTACAGTTACCAGAATTTATCTACATTCTGTCACTTTATACAACTGCCTATATATAAATGATATTAAAATAACACAACACGGTCTGTACAACAGACTATCCCCATAGCACTACACACATGCACGGTATTATGTAACTGCACGTGTAATGCATACAAAGTTACTGTGCGTACAAATCACTTTCATAACAAATTTTATACATCAAATTATCTGAAAACTATGAACTGTATAAAACCAACACCCAAATCAAACTGACGGCTATAGTTATCAATTATCAACATCATATGCTCAAATTATACTCACAACATTGGGCTTGTCTGGAAATACTAAATATTGATCGCAATCAGAAGGATGACTTTTCCCAAAATTGAGAATCATTTGCAGCTAAATTGTTACGCCCCCACTGCACTCGGCAGACCAAAAATTCAACCAAAAAACCATCGTTTCTGACGTCATACTCCGATCGTCAACTGAAACAAAAAATGTCCTCACAAAACAGAGATTAGTATCTTACAGGTAAAGTTGTTGCCAAAATGGTAAATGTGTTGCTTTTTTAAAAAACAATTTGGTAAATGTGTTGCCCAAAGCAAGGGAGGGGGAGGGAGGGGGAGACAGGGATTTCCTATGTAAACTTGTTGCCATTTCTTGGTAAAGTTGTTGCCTGTGATTGGTAAAAATGTTGCCAAAATGGTAAATGTGTTGCTTTTTTAAAAACCAATTTGGTAAATGTGTTGCCCAAAGTTAGGGAGGGAGGGAGGGATTTCTCCTGATATGTAAACTTGTTGCCATTTCTTGGTAAAGTTGTTGCCTGTGATTGGTAAAAATGTTGCCAAAATTGTAAATGTGTTGCTTTTTTAAAAACCAATTTGGTAAATGTGTTGCCCAAAGTTAGGGAGGGAGGGAGGGATTTCTCCTGATATGTAAACTTGTTGCCATTTCTTGGTAAAGTTGTTGCCTGTGATTGGTAAAGTTGTTGCCAAAATGGTAAATGTGTTGCTTTTTTAAAAACCAATTTGGTAAATGTGTTGCCCAAAGCAAGGGAGGGGGAGGGAGGGGGAGGGAGGGGGAGAGAGGGATTTCCTATTTTAACTTGTTGCCAATTCTTGGTAAAGTTGTTGCCTGTGATTGGTAAAGTTGTTGCCAAAATGGTAAATGTGTTGCTTTTTTAAAAAACAATTTGGTAAATGTGTTGCCCAAAGCAAGGGAGGGGGAGGGAGGGGGATGTCATGATGTTCGATTAGACATGATATTGATATCGATGTAAACAATGTGATCGAGAGATAATGTAATGCATTGCATGTTGCAAGGTCAAGAGGTCAAATACGGCATGTTACATGTTCGTCAAGCCGGAGCGGAAAGGATACAATAAAGACTATGAGACTCGTAATACTTGTGTTGAATTCCATTTATTCTATATCCTGGTTAGGATATGACATTGGCGACGAGGATGAAAGTCATATAGGACAATTGTAGATCTGTTTGAGAAGGAAAATGGCGTTTGGAGGTGCAGATATCAAGGGACTTGGTCAGTTTGATCCGACCGGAGACGCCAGTGTTGTGAGTGAAAGATGGCAGCGCTGGTATGAGGAGTTTGATGCGTACGCAGATAGCCTCGGTGTGTTTGTCGACGGGGCAGAGCCGGCGCAGTTGACTCGACGTAGAGCCTTGATGATGTACTCTGCTGGAGCGGCTGTGCGGGAAGTTTTCAAGACCCTTGAGGATACTGGCACCAAGGCAGATTATGACAAGGCTGTGAACGCTTTGGAGAAGCATTTTGTTGTGCAGTCAAATTCTACCTTTCAGCGTCATGTTTTCAGACAGATTACTCAGCAGGCGGATGAGACTGTGTCGCAGATGGTGACACGGCTTAAGAAGGCAGCAGAAGGCTGTGCTTTCAGAGATGATTTGGAGAACCAGATTCGTGATCAGGTCGTTCAAGGGTTGCGGTCATCTAGACTGCGAAGGAAACTTTTGGAAAAGGGTACTGCACTCACCCTAACTGCAACCTTGGCGATAGCAGCGTCACTTGAGGCCGTGGAGGCCATGGATTCTCAATTCAGAAAACTGTCATCGGTGGAAGAGTTTCCTAGCTCTAGTTCCCAGGTCCGTCAGGTCAGTAATGAAACCCGTGAATGCTTTAATTGTGGGAGAACTGGGCACAGTTATAAGGACTCGACATGTCCAGCCAAGGGACGGATATGCCACACATGTGGGAAAAAGGGACACTTCGCCACAAAGTGCAGAGATGGTTCAGGGAAGAAGGAGCAGACAAGTGGACCAAGCTTTAAACCTAGAGGAAAATGGGGACAGAAAAGGCAAGGTCACAAAGTGCGACAAGTGGATGAATGCACATGTCACTGTCAGAATAAGCAAGGTGATGAACAGAACCATAGTGATGATAGTGAGAGAGGATATGCATTCGCTATTGATACTGACAAGTGTGAAAAGGTGCCTGTTGTGATTGGAGGAGTACCAGTTGATATCATAGTAGATTCTGGAAGCACTGCGAATATCATTGACAGAGCATTATGGGAGTCCTGAAGACAGAGAAAATTACATGCTCATCCCGAAGGTGTAACAAAAAGCTCTATCCGTATACTTCTGTAGAGCCACTTCAGACCATTGGATGTTTTAAAGCTGTGGTCAAGGCAGGTGAGAGAAGTGTAGAAGCTGAATTTGTTGTCATTGCAGAGAAAGGCGAACCACTGATGAGTAGAAAAACGGCATTAGCCCTTGGTGTGCTACGGATCGGGATTGATGTGAACTCTGTGAAATCATATGTAGATATGAGAGAAGAATTCAAGCCAGTATTCCAAGGCGTTGGAATACTGCGTGATCGACAAATCAAGCTGAAAGTTGATCCCGAGATTAGACCTGTAGCCCAGCCAGTTCGAAGAACACCATTCGGTTTGAGAGACAGAGTGAAGGAGAAGATCCAGGAACTAGTCGAGCAAGACATTATAGAGCCTGTGGAAGAACCTACACCGTGGGTTAGTCCTGTAGTCATAGTACCCAAGCCTAATGGAGATATCCGGATATGCATTGACATGAGGCGGGTCAATGAAGCCATTGTGAGGGAGAGACATCCGATACCGACAGTGGATGAAATACTCCAAGAGTTGTCAACAAGCAAGGTGTTCTCAAAAATTGATCTAAAATGGGGATATCATCAGTTGGAGTTAGATCCTGAATCCCGAAAGTTGACCACGTTTGTAACACATTGCGGACTATACCGTTACAAGAGATTGTTATTCGGTGTGAATGCAGCACCTGAGATCTATCAGCACGAGATCCACAAAGTGCTTCAAGGACTACCTGGTGTTGCAAACATTTCTGATGACATCATCATTCATGGTGCCACGCAGGAAGAGCATGATGAGAGGCTTCGACAGACCTTGACACGATTGAAAGATGCAGGATTAACGGCCAATGCAGAAAAGTGCCTGTTTGGTGTGTCCGAGTTAGTATTCATGGGACACAAGTTGACAAAGGACGGCATCAACCCCACCAAGGCCAAGATTGAGGCTGTAGCAAACGCATGTGAGCCAAAGAATGCAAGTGAAGTACGAAGTTTCCTGGGCCTAGTGAACTTTTGTGCAAGGTTCATCCCAAACTTGGCAACGGTGGCGGAACCTCTTCGGAGGCTGACTAAGAAGGATCAGAAATTTGAGTTTGGCATGGAACAGAAGCAGGCTTTTCAAACACTGAAGGACAGTTTGAGTAGTGCCCATACTTTGGGTTACTTTGATCTAAAGGCCCCCACGCAAGTTATTGCAGATGCCAGTCCTGTGGGACTTGGAGCTGTGTTAGTGCAGAAGCAAGATGGTGAATACAGAATTATAGCCTATGCAAGCCGTTCTTTGACAGCAGTTGAGCAAAGGTATTCACAAACAGAGAGGGAGGCGTTGGGACTCGTATGGGCGTGTGAACACTTTCACGCGTATTTGTACTGGAACGAGTTTGAATTATTGACGGATCATAAGCCACTAGAAGCAATCTACTCACCCAGATCCAAACCATGTGCACGTATTGAACGATGGATGCTTCGACTTCAGCAGTACAGATACAGAGTAGTGTACATAGCTGGGAAGACGAACATCGCGGATTCGCTATCTAGGATGCTGGATGTGGATAAACTGAGAAGCTCTACATTGGAGGATGAAGCAGAGTCATTTGTTAGATTTGTTGCCACACACTCTACCCCGAGGGCAATGAGGACAAGAGAGATTGAGGAAGAATCTGACAAAGATCCAGAGTTGTTAGATTTGAGGGAAAGAATCCAGAAGGGCGATTGGAATACATGTCCATACAAGGTGTATTCAGCCATCAGGGACGAGCTGTGCATCATTGGGAGATGCGTACTGAGAGGGAGTCGACTTGTAATACCAACTCAGTTGAGACCAAGGATGATAGCGTTGGCTCATGAAGGTCATTTGGGAATTGTTGGCACGAAGCAAAATCTCCGATCTAAAGTGTGGTGGCCCGGCATGGAGAAGGAAGTTGAACGCTATGTAAAATCTTGTCATGGGTGCCAGATTGTAAGCAGACCCAGTCCACCTGAGCCAATACGAAGTACGCTCTTACCAGCTGGTCCATGGGAGGATGTCGCAGTAGATTTTTTGGGACCACTACCATCTGGTGAATCAATTCTAGTGATCATTGACTATTACAGTAGATATTACGAATATATTGTGATGCGATCTACAACAGCAGAGAAGACGGTGGCAGCTCTAGCAGGGATTTTTGCAAGACATGGTTTGCCACTAACGCTGTATTCTGACAATGGGCCTCAATTTATCTCGCAAGTCTTTGCAGACTATATGAGGCTGACAGGTGTACACCACCATAGGGTTACACCTAAGTGGCCTCAGGCAAATGGTGAGGTTGAGCGACAGAACCAATCCCTTGAGAAGAGAATGAGAATTGCTCATTCAGAAGGCAAAGACTGGAAGGAGGCGCTGTTGTCATATGTTGCAGCATACAGAGCTACACCACATAGCACAACAGGTAAAAGCCCAGCTGAGCTACTCTTCGGACGGAAGATCAGGACAAAGTTACCTGTTATCAGTGAATCTCTAAATGACCAAGAGATCAGAGACCAGGACGCTGAGAGCAAAGGTGCATCAAAACTGTATGCAGACTCTAAGAGGGGTGCCAAACCATCTGATGTGGTGCCAGGAGATGAAGTTCTGGTGAGGAGGGAAGTGTCTAGCAAAATGGACACACCATTTCTACCACAACCATACACAGTTGTATCCAGAGAGGGCAACAAGCTGACCATTTGCTCACCAGAAGGTGTGATGTATGCTAGGAACACATCACATGTGAAGAAGTATCATCGACAGGGTATTCCGTCTGACATAGGAATACTGCAGCCGGAAGCTGAGACTACAGAGGCCCAGGTTCCACTCTACCATGGTGTTGGTGCTGAATTGATAACACCGCAGTCTGATGTCGAGACTACTAGTGATCAGAGCCAACATGAGGGGACTGAGCGTCAGATGGGAGTTCCGAAGACCGTACCATCACCGACCCGGACATCAATTTGGAGCAGACCAAAACGCCATCGTTTGAGGCCCAAGCGATTTTCTGATTATTTGTTGGAATGACGATTCCGTGGAAACAGCCATCTAGTATTGTGACGCGAAGTGTTCAACCAGTAAAAGTGACACAACAAAGTTTTTCAGTCATTTTAATGTTTGAGTGTTAAAATGTTTCACAAAGAGTTCAAGTGCTATTTTAGCAAGTACATAGGGTGTATGCCTGTACGCTGCCCTATATTTAATGGAATGTTCACTACATTAGGGTGTATGCCTGTACGCTGCCCTATAGTCAATGAAAAGTTCAGTAACCGGGTGTATGCTTGTACGCTGCCCTATTTGAAGAAGAAAAAAAGTAGTTTTGGGTGAATGCTTGTACGCTGCCCTGAGTTAAAGTGATTAATTAGTGAAATTTAAACCAAAAAAAAAATGAGAGAAGAAAAGGGTGCAAGCTAGTGCCAAGAGAAACGTGGGGATTCATCTCAAAGCAAACTCTCAAGTTGTTAGCTGACTTTGAAGCTCAAGTGAAAGACTAGCAGCTGAAGAAAGAACATTATAAGATTAATTATAATGAGAACTCTAAAATGTCTCATGACAGATCTGATCAACATCCAACCCAGAGATGAATATTGAGAACTCTAATGCATGCGTCTTATGAAAGACTCATATTATAAACAAACAGAGACTTTATAGTTAAACCAGTTTGATATGTCAGTCAAGTAGTTAAATGAAGTGAGTTGATCATACACTGCATATATTGTAATGTCAAGTTGTTTGAATATTCATTTCATGATGTGTATGATGAGAAATGTATAAGTTCTGAATTGGGAGTTCATTGTTTTAAAAACAAAAAACAATGTGTGTTTGGTTGAAGTTCAAGTTCAATAGTTCGAAGTCAAGTAATACACGAGTCGTTATTAGTATGAAAACAAACAAACGATATTTGGATATCGATTTGGTCAATGGAAAAGTCACATACATGTATTATATTGATACAAACAGTTCAAAACTTATTGCATGCTAAAACAAGTTTTGAAATCAGGGTTCATGTTTATTCATTGAAGTAAAATGGAAAAGATGTCTTTTAATCTGATAAGGGAGGGATGTCATGATGTTCGATTAGACATGATATTGATATCGATGTAAACAATGTGATCGAGAGATAATGTAATGCATTGCATGTTGCAAGGTCAAGAGGTCAAATACGGCATGTTACATGTTCGTCAAGCCGGAGCGGAAAGGATACAATAAAGACTATGAGACTCGTAATACTTGTGTTGAATTCCATTTATTCTATATCCTGGTTAGGATATGACAGGGGAGACAGGGATTTCCTATGTAAACTTGTTGCCATTTCTTGGTAAAGTTGTTGCCTGTGATTGGTAAAAATGTTGCCAAATTGGTAAATGTGTTGCTTTTTATAAAAAACCAATTTGGTAAATGTGTTGCCCAAAGTTAGGGAGGGAGGGAGGGATTTCTCCTGATATGTAAACTTGTTGCCATTTCTTGGTAAAGTTGTTGCCTGTGATTGGTAAAGTTGTTGCCAAAATGGTAAATGTGTTGCTTTTTTAAAAACCAATTTGGTAAATGTGTTGCCCAAAGCAAGGGAAGGAGGGAGGGATTTCCCATGACTTGTTGTCAATTCTTGGTAAATTTGTTGCCTATGATTTGTAAAGTTGTTGCCAAAATGGTTAATGTGTTGCTTTTTAACCAATTTGGTAAATGTGTTGTCCAAAGCAAGAGAGGGGGAGGGAGGGGGAGAGAGGGATTTCCCATGATATGTAAACTTGTTGCCATTTCTTGGTAAAGTTGTTGCCAAAATATGTTGCTTTTTAAAAAAATTGGTAAATGTGCTGCTTTAAAAAAAAACAATTTGGTAAATGTGTTGCCCAAAAGTAAGGGAGGGAGGGAGGGAGGGAGGGTGGGAGGGAGGGAGGGATTTCCCATGATATGTAAACTTGTTGCCATTTCTTGGTAAAGTTGTTGCCAAAATATGTTGCTTTTTAAAAAAATTGGTAAATGTGCTGGTTTAAAAAAAAACAATTTGGTAAATGTGTTGCCCAAAAGTAAGGGAGGGAGGGAGGGAGGGAGGGTGGGAGGGAGGGAGGGAGGGAGGGATTTCCCATGATATGTAAACTTGTTGCCATTTCTTGGTAAAGTTGTTGCCAAAATATGTTGCTTTTTAAAAAAAATTGGTAAATGTGTTGCCCAAAGCAAGGGAGGGAGGGAGGGAGGGACGGGGAGAGAGGGATTTCCCATGAAATGTAAACTTGTTGCCAATTCTTGGTAAAGTTGTTGCCTGTGATTGGTAAAGTTGTTGCCAATATGGTAAATGTGCTGCTTTAAAAAAAAAAAACCAATTTGGTAAATGTGTTGCCCAAAGCAAGGGAGGGAGAGTGAGAGGGAGGGATTTCCCATGACATGCAAACTTGTTGCCATTTCTAGGTAAAGTTGTTGCTAAAATGGTAAATGTGTTGCTTTTTTTTAATTTGGTAAATGTGTTGTCCAAACCAAAGGAGAGAGGGAGGAAGGGAAGTGAGAGGGAGGGAGATGAAGAGAGAACGTTTCTGATCCGAATCTCAGCTTTGCATGCAAGCGCAAACGTACGTACGAATGCAAAATGTGCAGAGCGCCATCTAACGTCGGTTGTGGATTACAATTTACCGGATATCATAACAAAAACACGTCGACAAACTACTTGATTCCTCGACTTTTGACATCAATAGCGATGCATATTAGTTGATCAACAGTACAAGGTGAGTACATGTAGTTGAAAAATCCCACATTCAAAGTGATATGTCCATGAATAATTGGCTTTAAAAATCGGTAGAGGCCGAGCCAACTTGAAAATGGAGAGTGCATTGAATCTCGTATGACAAAGCGCCGCGTAGTCCCATGTGTAGTTTGATGTGCTTGTTGGTTTGTTTTGTGGAAGAAGAGGACATTTCTTGCTGGAAATTGATTAGGCCTTAAAACTGCAAACAAATTAGTAGACATTTGTATAAACCTCTATTACATTTTGAATGAAGAGTCGATTTAGTAATGATAAGGAAATAGATATTTGAATGTGAATTGTAAAGTTTAGATTTTAGAAATGATCTTTGACTTTGTCCTTGACTTTGACTTTAATAGAGTAAAGGAGCCGGTAATCGGCTAGACCGAAAGCTTCAGTCTCTATAATCGTCGGTTGTTCCACTGAGACTACGTCTGGCTCCACTAGACCTCCGGTTATAGAGACTGAACGACTGCCTATGCCAGCCTGTGTTGAACTTATTCCGCTAGATTTTAGCCGCTAGGCCCCTCCCACAAACTTGCCACGGCCGTATTGTTATGCCCCCAAAATCCCCCAAAATGTCATTTTACCTTGTTCATTTCCAATTTTAAATTAGGCCTAGGCTATAATACATCGGTTCCACTTACTAACTGGATTGATATAATCCGTTTAATGGTCCCTTTTAAGGAAATTTATCGGTCAAAATCGACATCCATGTTGAAAATCTTGCAAGCCGTGTTAAACTCTCGCTGCCGTCAATCTCATCCCTTCTAGTCTACGCCGAAGGCAAAATGATTATGAAGGAAAAACTGTGCGCCATCTACACGTTTGTAATGGCGTTATCACAGTTTTTCCTTCATAATCATTTTGCCTTCGGCGTAGACTAGAAGGGATGAGATTGACGGCAGCGAGAGTTTAACACGGCTTGCAAGATTTTCAACATGGATGTCGATTTTGACCGATAAATTTCCTTAAAAGGGACCATTAAACGGATTATATCAATCCAGTTAGTAAGTGGAACCGATGTATTATAGCCTAGGCCTAATTTAAAATTGGAAATGAACAAGGTAAAATGACATTTTGGGGGATTTTGGGGGCATAACAATACGGCCGTGGCAAGTTTGTGGGAGGGGCCTAGCGGCTAAAATCTAGCGGAATAAGTTCAACACAGGCTGGCATAGGCAGTCGTTCAGTCTCTATAACCGGAGGTCTAGTGGAGCCAGACGTAGTCTCAGTGGAACAACCGACGATTATAGAGACTGAAGCTTTCGGTCTAGTAATCGGCCAGCTCCAGTTTTCGGCCGATTGGTTGGATGCAAGGTAAAATCACTCTAAAATACATCGCATAATAGCATAACACATATCCCACACATACCATACCATGCCAGTGCCACTGAAGAACCACATTTGCAATGGAAAATATATCCTAAAATATCACATTTTAGCGATGTAATCGCCGGTCCCGCTACCCAAATCTGAAAAATCTAGTATCTTATGCGTGTCTGTAAGAAATATGGGTACCATAAAATGAGCTTTATTTCAAGTATTTTGCAGATTTAGAGCCCGATTTTGTGCTAGTCGCAAGCTCAAAAGTATCTCATCCCATGTATTAAATCAATGCAGCCGCACACCGCGACGCACACACGATATCTCTGTCTAATTCAGATTCCAACTTCCGATCACCGCTGTGCCTGTCTTCGGCCAGGCGAGCACCAGGGAGCTCCGGCGTGGGATACCTGCTCCGCCCGCTTGTGCTGTACATCAGCGCGGAAACGCACGGCGCGCGCGAGCGCTTCCTATTGACTTTGTACATGCGGCCGTAAACTGAAACGCTCGGCCGATAACTGGCTCCAAAACAGTGAAAATTGAAATGAATATTGTCATGGCAATTCGTGATTTTTTTCTGGGATTATTTTTTTGTTTAAATAATAATATTTCCTTCATGATTTGAACAAGAAATGATAATAAATAGGAAGTAAAGAGTCCTAAAAATAGGATTTTGTCTTAAGTGGCCGAAAACGGGCTCCTTTACTCTATTTGTATTTAATCTTCAAATTTTAATTTCAAAATGAAATCCACTATGGGTATCATCATAAGGAAAAATAAGATTGATATCATATCATAAGACCTATCAGAAAGGTTTCCTTTGTTCATTCTGCTTGATTTCTTTTTTTTCTTTTTACAGGAAAAATGATAGTGTGGTGATCGATGCCTGTCTCGCGCTCGGCTTGTTTGCCAATCTAACTCTAACTCTCCCGGCAAGATGAAGAAGGTACGTGGGCCGAAGCTCAGGCCCAAGTACCACTCCTTTTACCTCGTTCTTTTCTCAGTCATCCTCGCTGGAATCATTGTGACCGGCGTCTTCCAGTTCTGGCCCCATTCCATCGAGTCGGAGAAGCAGCCGAGGTATCGTATCGAAAGCTACAAAAACCTGCCGGAGGTGAAGGTCTCGGAAGGGGCACCGCTGGGGGCAAAGACCGTGCAGGAGTGCCACTACCATGACTGTTTCGACGTCTACCGATGTGGTTCGGAGACCAACAGAATCAGTGTTTATATCTACCCCATGAAGAAGTATGTGGACGAGAGTGGGGTGCCCATAACGGGGCAGATTTCGAGGGAGTTCTACGAGGTTCTCAACGCCATCGCAAACAGCCCATTTTACACGTCGAATGCGGACCAGGCGTGTCTGCTTGTGCCGTCAATCGACCTGTTGAACCAGAACACGATGAGAGTGAAGGAGATGGGACAAGTCTTGAATCGGCTACCAAGGTAGGTCCAGGGTGGTACCAGAGAGATGGAGAGAGAAAGAAAGAAAGAGAGAGAGAGAGGGGGGGGGGGGGGGAGATGGTTATGGAGTTGGAGATGGAGATGGAGAGGGAGAGGATGAGAGAGAAAGAGATGACGAGAGAGATAAAGATGGAGAAAGTTTGAGAGAGAGATGGAGATGGAGAGAGAAAGAGAGAGATAGTGATGAAAATGGAGAGATGGGAATATGAAGATGGAGTGAGAGAGATATGGAGATGGAGAGAGAGAGAGAAGGAGACAGAGAAAGAGTTGGGGGGGGGGGGAGATGTTGGGAAAGGATCGGGGAGATGGCCCAGAGACTCCACTACATATACCACAGTGTTTCTCACATGGTGCTGACTGATTTTAAATAAAACTGTTTGTCTCGGGTAGATGGAACGGAGGTACCAACCACTTGCTCTTCAACAAGATGAAGATGAGAATGAAGATGAAGAGAGGGCGAGAAATAGACACGGAGATGAAGATTAAGAGAGAGAGAGAGAGAGAGAGAGAGGGAGATGAAGATTAAGAGAGAAAGAGAGAAAGAGAGAGGGGTAGGGGGGGGGGGGTGTTGGGAAAAAGATTTGGGGAAATTGTCATTAGGCTCCAAAATATACCACAGTGTTTCTTGCATGGTGTTGACTCACTGATTAATCAAACTGTTTGTCTTGTGTAGATGGAACGGAGGTACCAACCATCTGCTCTTCAACATGCTCCCAGGGACCATACCTGACTTCCACACAGCCCTGGATGTCCCCAGGGGCAATGCCATCCTGGCTGGTGGGGGGTTCTCCTCCTGGAGCTACAGGCCCGGCTACGATGTCAGTATACCAGTCTTCAGTACCACCATCTCTTCTGTCAAAATGAACGAGAGGCCTTTTGAGTAAGTCACCCACACAGTTGTTAAAGATAAACTTGAGTTCTGGTCAAAAAAGAGAATAAATTCTCACAGAATCAAACGAAACTTACACTGAATGTTCAAGATTACAAATAATTGTCATTTGCCAAACAATTTTGGGTAAAAAATGTATACTGACTGAAAAATGAGCATAGAAAGATAAGGAAATCAAGGTAAGTAGACCTGACACCATTTGTGTAGTCCCATATACATCTTTCTGTGTACGATGCTTGTTACTTTACCAAGACTGGGCCAAATTTATTATGGTTTTGATGACTCTGGAACCTTGCAGTACACACCAATACTTTTCTTTAACAATGCAATTGCATGACCAGAACTCAACTTTATCTTTAATTATAATATATATTGACTTCGTTTATGCTACTTATAGGTAGCGGCTTGCATGATGATGTAGATATATACAGTAGGCTTGCAGTTGCAGCATGTGAGAGAGGGGGAGGATTGGGGAGTCCTGAAAAGGACTGTCAGTAATCTTTCTTTCTTGAGTGTGTGTAGTCCTGAAAAAGACTGTTGGTTATCTTTCTTAGCTTATAGTTCTAAGGAGAACTATAGCGCTGGTTGGAGAGAGGAGGGTGGTAGGACTTTGTTTATCTGTTATTACTGTGGAAAGTGACTAGCTCCTCTTGAGCTGCTGGGGTGGTATTCTGAAAGCTTTTTTAACTGTTATAAGATGTAAGTAAAAAAACATGTTAATCGTTGTAACTAATCTAAACTTGGACAAATCATTGGTTAATTTATGCACAACACTTGTAGTTCAGAGAGGCATCCGCACAAGTACAAATGAAAAAGTGTTTATTCCGTGCAATTTAAATTTGCTATGGCGAAAGCCTGGAGCAATTGTCGCCAGAGCAAACGTTGGGGCACCTATTTTTTAATTCTCTGCTTTTTGTCAACCCCCCCCCCCCACGCCCTTCTTCCCCCAGCACGGTGCGCCCCTACTTAGCCGTCTCCACACAAGCCGGTATCCACCCAGACTACCAGGCTCAGCTCTTGACCATAGCAAGCACCAACCCAGACTTCCAGGTCCTGGATGAGTGCAAGACTGAGGAGGGTCTCCCGGATCCATTCAAGAGGTGCCAGGACAACAAAGCCTTCGGCTATCCTCATATACTACAGGTGAGATGGCAATTCGGGTAATGTAGAGGTTTCGTAATTGAGTGGTTGAAGCACTTGACATGAAATGCAAAGGTTGTGGGTTTTTTCCCCGACATAGCACTAATGTCATTTGGCAAGGCATTAATCTACATTTGCCACTCCATACCCAGTACAGGAATGGGGACCTTGTGGGATGATGAAAGCATTTGTGTTATTAATTGCCATATGACCTCATGGTAACCATGTGGAATGGATGCTAAAAGTGTTATCTTTGCATACTTTACACATATTTTTTTCTATGATATTTTTCTTCTTCAGAGTTGTGTCTTTACACCCTGTGTGTGAATTCATTTTATTTTCAGAACAATCACATTCTTTTTCCTTTTCTTAATCTATCAAATACTTTTGTATTTTTCTCTAGGATGCTACGTTTTGTATTGTGCTACGTCGGACCCGTCTTGGGCAAGCTGCACTGAGTGACGCACTCCAAGCTGGTTGTATCCCAGTCATCATCAGCGATGCCTACATCTTGCCTTTCTCAGAAGTCATTGACTGGAAAAGGTATAAAACACAGTCATCATTTTCAAGATAATTATTTTGTTATTGTGGGAAGGCTGAAGCAGCCCCCTTGGTGGTTCTTCCTGTTATGGTAATAATACAAATATTACATTTATAAAGCCCCTTTTTATTAGACGCAAAGCGCATAAACAAGAAATACTTACAAACAAACAAAGAGAGAGAACACAATCATACAAAGCTTAATTTCTTGAAATTTATGTGGAGTGCTAGAAATGTCAAATCTGACGGACATATACAAGAACCCACTATTATCATTAAAATCATCTTGAAGTGTAAAATTGAGCTGGTTTCATCAGTGTTATTATTCTTGACAGGGCGTCGCTGGTGGTCCGAGAGGATCGCATCCCAGATCTTCCTGACATCCTGCACGCTGTGGAGCTGGAGCACATCTACGAGATGAGACAACAGGTCCGGTTTCTATGGCAACGCTACTTCAGCAGCATTGCCAACGTCACGCTGACGACGCTACAGATCATCAACGATCGCGCCTTCCCTTACAAGGCCAAGGACTATGATTGGTGGAACGAGGAGACTCCGAGAGTAAGAACACGTTTTGCTTTCTCAACTTTTTAATTTAATCTGAGAAGTAATATGTTGAAAATGAACAACATTTTAAAGTCGTGAAACATATTCAACATATTTAACAACCATTTGTTATATAGTCATATATTGGCCTTTGTATTTAATAGCAAATAGGGAATTCGTCTTGCATCACATTGCCTTTCGGATGGTGATGTTAAAGATTGGTCCCCAGACGTAATTAATCATATCTGATTGATACACGTCTGCAAAAACCCAATTACATCACATTACAGTTATGGCACCTATTCAACAATTTGGAATTCTTATTTGCGATCTTGAATTTGAAAGGTTGTTCTTTGCTGGCTCCATTTACCAAATGATCATCACACATTAATTCTATTTACGGTAAATGTATCATGGACAATTTTGGATAAAATAAAAACATAATACAATTATACAGTCAGTGGTACAGCAGTGGTCTCATAACCGGAAGGTCCCGGGTTCAAAACCAAGTTGATGCCCTAGTGCGCTTTGGTAAGGCATTAATCCTCATTACCAACAGCCTTTTCACACACAGCTAAAATTCATCGTATCTAGAGATGATTAGAATCACTCAACAGTTTTAAACATGTTTATAGACAAAAATTTCCCAGTGTGAACATCGTTTATACGATGTTGGGATAGATACGAAGTCGCGATGCATACGCCCCTAAAAGCAGGCTGCAGATACGAAGTTCGTATCTAGTGAGCTTGACATTTTGTGTGTGAAAGGTTATTCGTGTTTAAACGTGTTTCAGACGTGTTTAAACTGGATGGAGCATGCGCTTTGATTGATGTGACATGACCTTCAATGCGCAATGGCACTACTGCGCATTTTACGAGCAGTAGTTAATCACGAAACGTTTAACGATCGCACCGAAATTTCTATGTGTGAAAGGCTCGTGATTAGTTTAAACACGTTCGAAACACGTTTATACTAGTCATGTTTATAGAATTTTAGCTGTGTGTGAAAAGGCTGCAAGTCCCTCAGAGAGGACATAAACCGCTGGTTGCTTTCTTAGCAGTCGGGCAAGGCATTAATCCTCATTACCAAGTCCCGCGGAGAGGACATAAAGCCGTTGGTCCCCTGGTTGATTTCTTAGCAGTCAGGTAAAACAAACCAAGCAAACAACCAACATCTAATAGAAGTTTAAATTTACTTATATTTTTTTCAGAGAGGTGCCCAGAACCCTCTGTTCCTTCAAATCATCCCGCCCAAGTCACATGGCTTCACTGCTGTCGTCCTGACCTACGACAGGGAACAGAGTCTCTTTGAGATCATCAAGCGAATCTCGCAGACACCGAGTCTCTCCAAGGTATTGGTTGTCTGGAATCATCAAGAAAAGACACCACCACCAGGTAAGTAGTGATGATGATTGTCTTGAGAGATAGATGGATTAATAGATGGAGGGATGGATGGATAGATGGATGGAGGGACGAATAGATAGTTGGATGGATAAATAGGAGATAGAAAGAAAAAAAGATAGGTTGATGATATCATCAAGCAAATCTCGTAGACACCAAGTCTCTCCAAGGTATTGGTCATCTGGAATCATCAAGGAAAAACACCTCCACCGGGTAAGTAGTGATGATAGTTGTCTAGAGAGATAGATGGATTAATGGATGGAGCGATAGATAGATAGATAGTTGGATGGATAAATAGGAGATAGATACATTAGATAGGTTGATGATATCATCAAGCAAATCTCGCAGACACCGAGTCTCTCCAAGGTATTGGTTGTATGGAATCACCAAGAAAAGACACCTCCCCCATGTAAGAAATTTTCTTCTTCTTATTATTATATATCAAGCTATTACTTGAAGCTGGGTAAGAAATGATAGTAATTGTTTTGAAAGATGAATAGATTGATGGATGAAAATATAGTTGGGTGGGTGGCTAGATTTGAGATAGTTACTGTAGATGAAACAAGATCTTCAAGAAAATCTTGCAGACACCAAGTCTCTCTATGAAAGATAGTAATGGTTTGTGTGAGATCGATCATCAAGAACGACACCAGGTAAATAAATAGTGATGATAATTGACTTGAAAAATAGGAAGGTAAATGGATGGAGGGCTTGATACATGTAGATAGATTGAAAGACAGTTCGCTGTGAATTAATGATAAGAGTTCCATTATTCTTACAATATTTTTTTTTCACTTGAACCAAAGAAAGATGAGTGGATAGGTAGATGGGTAGATGGATGGATGGATGGATGGATGGATGGTTGGTTAGATGGAAAGAAAGATAAATGAAGGTAGATAAATACTTTTACATGTATAAGTGTATATTTTCATCCTCAAGAAGCAAAGCAATGAAAGTAGGATTTATCACACTTCAGATCTCGTTGATCAGACTTTTCCTGTGTGATCTATTAAACAGAACATGTTGAAAATTACTTGCTGAGGTTGCAATATTGGTTTCATTTGGTTTTCAATGCTATGTAATCCCATATTTACTGCATCTTTCCTGTAGCTGATAGATGGCCCAAGATCAACAAACCTCTGAAGGTGGTGCAGACAAAAGAGAACAAACTCAGCAACCGATTCTACCCTTACGACGAGATCGAGACCGAGTGCATTCTGGCCATCGATGATGATATTGTTATGTTGACGCCGGATGAGCTGGAGTTTGGTTATGGGGTAAGAATCTATCTTTGTTTATGTTCCCTTTTTGTCATTAAAACAGAGAGTTCTTGAATTTCATATCTATTATGAATATACTTTGGGGATATACATTAATTAATTGCTGTGCAAGGCATCTGGGATTACACAATCTGTCATTTTTGTTTGTGTTTTTGCCTTATTTCAATAATTTTAATTTCATTTATTCAAAGCCCGTCTGTACTAGTTTGGCCGGGGGGATAAGACCTCCCTGCAAGGTCACTGACAGGTAGTTATCTTATCAAATCAGCTCTCAATTAACATAAGAAAAAGGGGATCATGGGGGACCAACAGGCACTGATTAGGCATTGTTTGCTATATAGAGGGCTCAAGTAGCTATAAGTAGTGCAGTGGGGATTTAAACAGTATTAAACTAAGTCATCATAGTATAGTATCCTTTCACTGATTTGTTATGCAGGTTTGGAGAGAGTTTCCTGATCGTCTTGTGGGCTTCCCAAGTCGTCTCCATCTATGGGATGAAGCCCAGGGCAAATGGAAGTACGAGAGTGAGTGGATGAATGACCACTCGATGGTACTCACCGGTGCTGCGTTCTACCATAAGGTAAGAGACGCTGTATGTTGGGATTTTGAAAGGGAAGAGAGAGGGGAAAGCAAGTTTTTTTTTTTTTTTTTTTTTTTTTTTTTTTGGGGGGGGGGGGATGATGACCACTCGATGGTGTTCACTGGTGCTGCATTTTACCATAAGGTAAGAGATATATGTTGGGTTAGTTAAAGAGGGAGAGGGGAAAGGGAGAGGGAGAGGGGAGAGGGAGAAGGGAAGGGGAGAGGGGGAAGGGGAGAGGGGAAGGAGACATTGCAAAGGACATTATACCCCTATGTAGGATTGGGAGAGAGAGATGATGAGCACAGTTATGGTGCTTTGATGCACATTTTATCACAAATTTAAGGGACAACCCATATTGGAATCGTAAAAAGCGAAGGGTTTCAAAAGGAGCATGTACATGAGGGGAAAGGGAGAGAAGAAGGATCGTACGCTTAATTTGTTGAGATGTGAAAGAAAATTACCAACAGAATTGCTGTGAGTTTCGAGCGCAAGTAATGCAGAGAGATTTTATGCAGTGGTAGGTTTTTGTTATCTTGGGTATACAATCAACAGTGGTTGTGAATTTGAGATTGCAGTGGCAAGAAGATGCAGTTTAGGGTGGATGAAGTTAAATGAGCTGGCCTCGATCCTAGCTGGTAGAAGGTTTAGGATGAGAATAAAAGGCAAGATCTATAAGGCTTGTGTTAGCACAGCGATTTGTATATGGTTCAGAAACTTGGAATGTGAAGACAGTGGAAGGTATCTCGAGGAGAACAGAAAGAGTAATGACATGGAAGATGTGTGGTGTGAAACTGTCTGATAGAAAGAACATAAGTGAGCTCATGGAAAGGTTGGGTGGAAGTGGAAGTGGATTGAGATGGATGGGTCATGTCTTTAGAAGGGTAGATGATGAACCTGTGAAAAGAGCGTGGGATCTGGAAGTGGACCGCATAAGAGGGACAGGAAGCCCAAAGATTTCCTGGAAAGACATGGTGAAGAAAGAAAGCAGTAGTCTATTAAAATGGGGGGGGGGGGGGGGAATGCTTGAGACAAGAAGAAGTAGAGGGAGGGAGTGTCATGGCGCACAAGCCAGTAACCTATACATAAGAGGGAAAATGTTGACTAGAATCAATTATGATGATGATGATTCCCAAGTGTCATTTGTTTTCACTTCAAGTTAGGAAAATGACAAGCAAAGGAAGAAGTTGATGAAATGGTCTACATTAATGGTAGAAATCTGTAATTCTGGGTAATGTGCTTGGATTAGCAAGTGTGCGCTTGTAAAAATGACGCCTGGCTGGAATGCTCCCCAGGGAGTGGAGAATGTGCATCAATGTGGCGGGTAAGCCTGAATCCGATGACCGGGGTAATAATATATATTTGTAAAGCGCTTTGAGAGGGCCTGCAGTCGTGAAAAGTGCTATATAAAAACTAGCTATTATTATTATTATTATTATTAATTTTCCATTTTTAAATCGCAGTATTTCAGTTACGCCTATACCCATAAGATGACGCCACACATCAAGACCTGGGTGGATGACCATATGAACTGTGAAGACATCGCTATGAACTTTCTCATCGCTAACATCACAGGAAAGGCACCCATCAAGGTAAGATCCTAGAAGGCCAAGCAGGCTTATCACCAGGAATTTGATTACCAGGGATGCCAGTTTTCAGTCAAAAGCCTGAATTCATGCCCTGGCGATTTATTTTCAGGCCATGCTTAAGGCTTTTTTGTGTACTAAATAGCCCATTCTAGAAGATTTTCAAGTCCTCTGTTCAATTCGAACTGGCATCCTTGGATTACGCTCGTCTCTAATTGAATGAGCATTTGGATAGCCCAATTACTTTAATATAAGTTTGATTTGTATTGGAAAGTAGTTTAAATTGTGTGTATACTGCTTTTTAAACACTTAAGATCTGGTGGCACTGTGAGGGCTTAGTATGTGACCTTTCATGTAAAACAAAGATAAAACTTTTACCGTTGTCCGTCTTTCTTTGTTAAACTTGACTTTAAACAGAGCCTAAAGCCAGTGTTGCTTTCAGAGTAGAATACAGGCTTCAAGTTTGACATGTCTTTAGCACTCTTGGGAAATGGACATATCACCAAATTGTATTCCATTGAAATATTGGTCCTTTAAAGTAGACAATATACATGTACATACCTACTCTTAGATGCTTTGATAATGATTTGTTTTACCCGACTGCTATTACAAGTAAGCAACTTAGGGAGTGATGGCTTTAAGTCCTCTCCGAGGGCTACTACTAACATATCGACTTGGTTTTGAGCCCAGGATAGCCTAGTTCCGAGACCACTGCTCTACCACTGAGCCATCGCACCTCCACAATAATACATAATAATAATAAAAATGTTGCTTATAAAGCGCTTACCACCAAAGTCTCTAAGCGCTATAGCAAACTGTGAACAAAGGAGACTGATAAACAATGGCATATTAAACAAAACAAAAAAGTGCAAATAAACCTACAAATTACAATACATATGAAATACACATCAATGTGAACAGAGTAAATTAATCATCAAATACAATCTTGAATAAATGTGTCTTAAGACAAGTTTTGAATTGGTGATGCTTAGTCAGGCTTTTATTTTATTTTCTCCATATTAAGGTCACTCCAAGGAAGAAGTTCAAGTGTCCGGAGTGCACCAGCGTTGAGATGATCTCGGCTGATCTCAATCACATGGTGGAGAGGTCAGAGTGCATCATGGAGTTTGAGAAAGAATACGGCATGATGCCTCTGAAGACTGTCCAGTTCAGGGCGGACCCGGTGCTCTACAAGGACAACGTCCCCGAAGAACTAAAGCGTTACCATACCATTGGGAGTTTGTAGGTGCGACTAAAAAGAACAATTTCCCTATTAAAGAACTCAAGCTTGAAGCTGCAGTTCAGAGAGTCTGTATCATAGAGTTTGAGATAGAATATGGCATGATGCCTCTGAAGACTGTCCAGTTCAGAGCGGACCCGGTGCTCTACAAGGACAACGTCCCCGAAGAACTGAAGCGTTACCATACCATTGGGAGTTTGTAGGTGCGACTCAGTTTTGCAAGAACAGTATCCCTGTTAAAGAACTAAATCTTGTAGCTCCTTTTCAGGGATTATGCTCTGCTGTACAAGGACAACGTCCACGAAGAACTGAAGCGTTACCATACCATTGGGAGTTTGTAGGTGCGACTCGGTTTTGCAAGAACAGTATCCCTGTTAAAAAACTAAATCTTGTAGCTCCTTTTCAGGGATTATGCTCTGCTGTACAAGGACAACGTCCATGAAGATCTGAAGCATTACCATACCATTGGGAGTTTGTAGGTGCGACTCAGTTTTGCAAGAACAGTATCCCTGTTAAAGAACTAAATCTTGTAGCTCCTTTTCAGGGATTATGCTCTGCTGTACAAGGACAACGTCCCCGAAGAACTGAAGCATCACCATACCTTTGGGAGTTTGTAGGTGCGACTCAGTTTTGCAAGAACAATATCCGTATTAAAGAACTCAAGCTTGTAGCTCCTGTTGTTCTGCTGTACAAGGATAATGTCACTGAAGAATATAAGCATTACCTTACAGCAGGGGCCTTGTAGATACAGTTCTGGACCAATCCTATGATAAAAAAAAGACAGTAACCTGAAGATCTGAAACACTTCTATAGCTTTGGTAGCTTAAAGGTACACTTCAGCCACACAACAACATCCTCAAAGACTTAAAAGACAATAAAACCTTATAAGCATACCATGGAAAGCATATACATGTAGCTACAGTTCAGCGTGTCCTAATGCTGCACTGGGCAATATCCCTGAAGAATTTGCAGACCATACCTTTGGGAGCGTGAAGGTGTGACTCCGTTTCACAAGGACAACGTCAGGAAAGAGTTGAAGCCATCAACACCATCAGACACAAGAGGTGTATATGTAGTTCAGGGCCTAACCTGAGCCCTGTAGAGGACACTCTATCTAACACTATCGAGCATTTATAAGCGAACAAACGATTACATTACCCTGAGTGGCCAAAAAGTGGTCGGTTTTAGGTCGGTGTGAAGTCAGTTCGGCGGTGTGACCAAGGTAAACAGCTGTAGCTCATCGCTCCTTGTCACATCCGGTAGTCTATTGTATGGTGTGTACTCCGTTGGGAAGTGTTCCCAGTGCCCCTCACTTGAGCAGATATAAACATGTTGATGCTAGTCGCACAAACTGCTTCTTCTGGTAATGCATTCAATTATCGATGTGTACGCATCTTTTTGAGTCCACTATCTTGGATTTCATTATGTTACTCAAATGCCTTCCAATATGTCAGTGATGTGAATTTAAGAAAAAGAAACATTTTCCCTTTTATAGCCCTAATGGGGCCGTCAAGTTTACACAAATTTAAACAATTTGACTGTAATGAGAAAAGTCTTTATTCATGGTGCTTTATATTTTTGTTGTTAATCTATATGCAAACAACGGAGTTCCTTGATTTCAAATTTTATAATTTCTGAACCTTTTTTTAAAAATTTCAACAAGAAAGACAAGCCCTTTCTTCTTAATAGCATATGGGTCATTCCAAGGGGTTGGCGCATTTTTGTGACAATACCAGAATTGAGAAACTATGTCTCCTATTATCAACCATAACAATGTTTGCTCAAATTGAGTTTCGCATAAAGAGCATACCGCGGTAGCCAACCATGTTAAGATGTGAAGATGAACCAGCTTCCACATGTAGTAGAAGATCTCGTAACCACGTTACCTGGACATCATCATATTTTTTGCCCAACCTCGTGGAATGACCCATATGCAGGACCATTTAAAAATTGTATAAATTGAAGTTTTCCATTCGCACTGGAAGGGTTAATTGGTTAGATTTACATGTCTTAGATTTCTAATAAACCATATCAACATTTTAGCAAGGTCGGATTTAGTTTAACTTCATGTGTAAATTTTTAATTGTAATTCATTCAAAAATTTTATTAATTCAAGTGAAACCTCAGTAACACCACTAAATCAATTCTAAACCGATTTCCAAACCAACCAATTCTCAGTCATTAGGAGAAATGTAATCCCTTTCGCTGTGCTGACGGTCTGGTGTTGGTCTCTATGTTATGGTTTAGGTACAACCCTGATTTCTAAACAAAGTTATAACCCCGATATCCTCATAATTGCACCAGGATATTATCCACTTTGGGTGAAGGGTTAAAGATATATATTTATGTGTATATTTACGATATGATTTACACCTTTTTTCAATCATTGGACATAACTAAAAATTACTTTATATGTCATGTGTAAATGGAACTTATTAGTGATGGACTAATTCATGCGGAATGCTTCCAATGCCTATTTTTTTTGCTATGGCTGATGCTAAAATATAGCAATAACTAATAAACAAGGTCGTAGCATAAAGAAACTGAGCTGTAGGAAAAATCGAAAGTAGAAATGAAACAATGGAGATATTCAGAGATTGTTGCTTGCCATCTTATCTGAAGATTACACTTTTCGTCAAGGTGTATGATCATGTGTATATTTGATGATTTTTATAGATTCATTAATAGATTATCATTCAACACATGTTCTGTAGCACATAGTTTCTTCCTTTTGAATGATGAAAGAATGTCAATTTTTACTAAAAGGAGACTTCTTAAAGGGGTCCACATTGTAAGGAAAAACAGATTTCTCTAGAAAGCAAAGTGCTAAAAATATATAAGTTATAGAAGAAAATGTGAATATTAACAATAATTAAAAAAACAAAACCTATCAACTCATTCAATATTTCATTTGGGTCATGTATTTTGTATTGATTATGTCAGCTTTTGTAATAGTAAGATTTACCCATGAAATGTTTAATAACTCATTATTTTGTCAGTATATAGTTAAATTAAGGTGTACAAGAAAACATCAAGGAGAATATTAACAAACAATGAAAAATGTGAACATAACATGTTTTGTTTTTATAATAAAATCTTTATTTATTACACTCAATTTCGTTATGTATTCCACATCATTTTGTCATTACATGAATTGACTCAATACACCTAGCTTTATGCTTTACAATTACAGCTGGTAATGCTTGATAAAAGCACACATAAATCCATGGGTCATTGCAATCCAATGTCCTCTAACAAAATAAATGGGACTTCAGAAGTTTCTGAAACTAGTCAGCAGATGATGGAGGTTCATGATTAATGTAATTATTTGTTACATGCAACACGATACTTTGGCCTGAAATATTCACAATCAATTACAATATCTATGACATTTTTACTATTCAATCTTTTCTCACTCCTGAATATTTTGTAAGGCACATACATGTAGTCCTACTGTACATGTGAAAGACCAGATAATTCTCATAAAGAGTCAAACACTCTCCAAATGCATTTTCATTGACAAGCATAAGCTTTCTGATGGAGATTAGTGTTTCATGAATGTAGCAAATAATATGGTGTGATGATGTATTACGGAAAAAGGTGACAAAAATATCAGCTGTGGCAGTGTTATATATACACTAGGATATAAAGGGATTTAATCAGACTTTACAGTGGAGAAGGGATAAATAACTTATCCGGGGTTTGAGCCGATTCAAAATAATATCAGTCTTTATTGACATTTAGTCACTTCGACCGCTTTTAGGTCAAAACTGACCAATTTGGACACGTTATTTCAGGGGAAATTTTTCCAATCATTATTATCAGCAAAGGAGATTTGATGGGTATATTCTATGTTAAAATGTGCCCTGGTGCTATAAAAAGTAGTCCAATTGGTCAACAACAATATGGTAATTCTAGTCACTTTTTGGCCCAAAATGACCATTTGTATTGATATTTGTTCAAAATTAGGCCATATATTCAGTCGGACATCCAGTCAGACATCCAAATTCAATACGAAACTGTGCGCTGATATCAGAATGATCAATCCGATTGAATGAATTTACACAGTTCTGACCACTTTGGCCATTTCCATCAGAATGGGTCTTCCATGGTCCCCTCAGCTGAATAATTAGCACCCTCTCCATAATGTCAACCATCCACATAAACACTCGAGCAGCATGTACGCTGCCTAACGTTATTTTTCGCTTCATCTTCTAAAGAGGCACGCCAGGTCCCCTTTGGTCATAACTGGCACCCTCTCCTCAATTTTCTTTATCCATAGCATGTTCTACTGGCAAGTAAAACATCTCGTAAAATAAATTTGCTTTCAAATCAAGAAGCACCAGTTGGGTCACTAGAATTGAGATGTGTCTCACGACCCGAACATATTTTGCAGGGTCATGCTGGGGTCACCTTTAGGTATACACCTGTACATCCACACTCCCCCTTCATCCAGATTTCTTAAGTTCAAGCAGCATATATTCTACTGCGTGTGCATGTATATCTTGTAACATTATCTTTTTGCTTTGAAATCACGACCAGTCTTGACAAAAAAGGATGAATATCATGACCCGAGGTCGCTCCCAATAGTTCCAAACATCTTCTGAAGGGGCATACCGGGGTTACCTTTGGTATATATCCAAACTCTCCCTTCATCCAGATTTCTGAAGTTCAAGCAGCATATATTCTACTGCATGTATATCCCACAACATTATTTTTTGTTTTGTTTTGAAATCATGAGACAAAAGTCAAACCAAAAAAAGGATGAATATCATGACCCGAGGTCGCTTCCCATGGTTCCAAACATCTTCTGAAGGGTCATGCAAGGGTCGCCTTTGGAACCTTATATAATCACACTCTCCCTTCATCCAGATTTCTTAAGTTCAAGCAGCATATATTCTACTGCCTGTATAACTCACAACATCATTTTTGTTTTGCTTTGAAATCATGACCAGTCTTGACAAAATTGACGAATATCATGACCCGAGGTCGCTTCCCATGGTTCCAAACATCTTCTGCAGGGGCATACCGGGGTCACCTTTGGTGTACATCCGTACCCTCTCCCCGATCTGCTCCATCTTCAAATCGGTGGTCAGTATCCTCGTGAAAGAAGGGTTGGAGAAGGGGGAGTCGATGTAAACCGTTTGCTCCGGGATGTTGTTTAAGAGCGCAAGGAGGAGAACCTGTGCCACCGCGGTGTGCTGGCAGTACAGTGGTGCGATGCGGTACTTCTTGGACAGGTTCAACTGTCGCAGGACTCCGTAACCCATGACCTTTTCATCTGTGAGGTATTAAAGGGACATGAAAAAATTATGATTTAATCGATTTCCAGGTTAGTTGGTGCATTTTGAGATGCATTGCAACAACAAATATTTGGAATATATATCTCAGGAGTGATAGTGAGCACTAAAACTTTTTTTTTCCTCAACCAATCCCCCTTTGAGTAAAAAAAAAAAGGTTTTAGGGGGGAAAAATGGCATCCGGCGACATTCTCCCCCGTTTGAGTTAGAACATTTTGAAAAAATCTGGAAAATAAGGGAAAATAAGGGAAAAATCAGAAAAATTGGGGTAAAATCGGGAGAAGAAAAAAAAAAATCAGGGAAAAATCAGGAAATTATCAGGCCTGGATCTGTATGCATTTTAATTCTAATCCATTGACCCACTCCTCCCTCTAGGCTAAATATAGGAACCACCCGAATACCACAGACAACAGGGACCCATTTCACAAAGCCTTTTTTCAATGACAAATGACAAAAATCAGTGACAACTCTACTGATAATCAATCAGAACCAAGGATTTCAGTAGCTTATAACAATAACTGTCATTTATCACTGATGACAAGTTTTGTGAAATGCCCCTTCCCCCCAGGTGAACTTACCTTCACTGAGGGCATATGCGTGGCCGGCAGGGGGCTCTATGTTCGCCCAACGATACAGGAACTTCATCCTCTGAAAATCAAAGAGGTCTTCATCAAAGTATGCCACTTTGCTGAACGGCATGTCCGTGATCCTTCTCACAATCTTGGTTGATTGCGCTTCGGGTAACAGCGACACACCCACTCCTGCGAACAAAGAATAATAAGTGCAAAAGTGAAGAAATTAAATATCATCTTGGAAACCGAGCAGTGATGATGTTACTTGAGGTCTTGATTTACAAATCACACTGTAGAAGACATCCTTTTATGAAATAAGTGAAACATCCACTACTTACAAAAAGACCAAAGTTTTGACATGTACCATCCTCCATAATTCAGCTATATCAAATGACTACTTTAAATTCACTGATAAATGCGAGTCTGATATCATGATGACAACCAATGCAGGCCTAAAAAAAAAAAAATGTTGTATTACCCTTTAGGTGCCAAAACATGGATTGGTCGGAAATCTTTTAACATTTTTTTTTTACTCCCTCTTTGGGCTGATATTTCTCAGTTTCGAATGCTTTACATTTTCTTCTCTCCAAAAAACAGTTAAGTTTTTTTTTTTTAAGCCGTTCTTAGATATCAAGATTTTTGGGTCGGTCGCAAAGGGCAATACAACATCTTTCTTTTTTAGGCCTTATGCTTGTTGAGTTCCTGATGCATATTTTTGTGCAACTACATTCTGCAATGCCGCAGGTACCTTACCTTTATAACATCCAGATCGCCATTCCTCTTGGAAACCAAGCTGGCCGCACTTCTCCGCTTCAGAGGCGTCCACCTCGATGCCAATGTTCCTGTCCCCTAGGTGTTCCATGGCTGCCAGCCAGAGGGCCTCCTCTACCCCCCTGTCTTTGGCTTCCTCACCCGCATGGCAAAAACCTATGAACCCCAGCTTCTCTGTCCACCTCACCGCGCCTATCGTCCCGACGATGTCCCCAGCATTGTCCAGGGCAACGAAGAAGCCGTTGGGGTCAACACTGTGAAAGACTTTCAAGTCCTCATTTGTGAGTCTGCTGCCCTCTGCAGTCTGACTGTTGGCCAGGCTTGCAGATTCCTTTCCATGGAGCTGGCGGACCTTGAACCCTTCGTAATTGGTTGAGGAAAGACATCTCCTGGTTAATCTTGCTATGTTCTTCCCTGCTAGAAGCCTTGTGAGCCCCCTTGGTAAACACGCCATCTAAGACAAAAATCAAATAAAAAGTACAAACAGGTAAAAGGTAGTTAACTTAAAGCCCCACTGTCCTACTTGCAGCTACTTGCTCCCTCTATATAGAAAACTTCCCTAATCGGTGCCTGTTGGTCCCCCATGATCCTCTATTTCTTATGTTATTTGAGAGCTGAGTTGATGAGATAGCCACCTGTCAATGACCTCGCTGTATGGTCTAATCCCTCCTAGCCAAACTAGTACTGACAGTCTTTAAGAAATATCGCACATGATGAATTTACTCAATGAGATTATCCAATGAGGATAAACTAACCCACAAACACAAATGCGAGGTACTTGATTCCAATCTTCCTCGGAAAGAAAAGAGGGCAAAGATCCTCCAGCAGCCCGGCACTTGTGAATGAAGAAATAATGATGGCTGTAGTTTGTGGGTTAGTTTATCCTCATTGGATAAGCATTCGGCAGTATAGTAGTACCTCTTGCTTCCTGAGAATCTGCTATAAGCTCATGATGTTTTATATTTCAACATGATTTGTTCTCTACTTCCGCAAATGAATCTATTCTCGAATATAAATTTATGTCATCGTCACTGTGATAGATCAGTAATTTAGCGAACGCTGTCATCACTCAAGCAATTCATGGTCTTTTTTCATCATCTCTCTATTTGATATCTTTCACTCATGGACTATTCAATGTCCCGCAGATCAAGTTACAGCATCTAAATTCTAAGTCTCAAAGCAGGCATCACCTGTTCGAGTCCTTTTGCTTCATCAAACTGAAGTTCTTCCGCCAATCTCCTTTGTGCCAACGAACGCCATCTCGCACTTGTTATTGTTGGCTCATTTTACAGACCTTGCTCTCGTAAGCACACACACACACTCATCAGTCTGCAAGAATCTTCAACTGTGAAGGAGGTAGACTTAACCCAAAGAAGAAGAAGAAGACTCTCTAAATCCAAGTTCTCAACTTCGTCTTTACTTCAGACTCTTTATCTCTTTTACATTGCATTTTCAACTTCATTCTATTCTATTATGTAATGACATGTCATTGTTCATTTTATTATTGCTTATTCAGAATTCAAATACCTGTAATATTCATACTGATTTGACTGCAACTTGTAAGAAACACATTATTTTCATTTTTTAAATTAAAAGGAAAGAAAATCAAATATTTGTTACTCATCGACATACATGTAGGCCTATAGGCCTACTTGGCTAATTTGTAGTGTTTTTACATTATCTCAATCACACATCATTTCACACTTCGCAACATTCATTGAATTGTCAATACATTAAAGACATTTCAAGTCTTAATTATAGAACAACATACCGGTAGTCCAGTCTAGTCATAGACAGCGACAGTTCACAAACACCAATTAAAGTATGTGGGACACCATCGAAAACGTTGGCTTAGTTCTCATCTCCATTAGTGGGCTAGATTACGTTTTTGCTATCAAATATTGCAGCTAATACTCACCACAAGTATAATGTCGATGATTCGATACCAAAATCTTAAAATTCGGCAAGAAATTGTTTATTATTCAGGTCTAGAGATAATTTGTCGTGAACATTGTGCAGTCGATAAAGCAGGTAGCTTTGAGTGTAAAAAAAAAAGGAAAATAAAGAGGGAACGTTGAAAGTGGAAATGAAAAGTTGATCTGAGGCTGAGTACATGAAAAAGAATGCCAGCTAGAGAAGAAAATCATCTAACAAAGTATTTAATTATCATTAAATATCATTAGCAAAGTATCTATACATTTTATATAGATAATATGACTATGGTGCAAGACCCGGAAGCTGGGACATCCCCCCCCCCACCCCCCTCCCCCTGAAGTTAGACTTAAGCTTGGCAGCTGGAGACGACTTTCTTCCAGAAGCTTTATCCTACGTTTACACTATGTTCAGATTTTGCAGCAGTTTCAAATTTACATCTAAGCAGTGGATCATTGACAACAAATAGTTATTTAATTTTTTTTTAATTGCAATGCCAATGATAATAATGAAAATAATATTAATAATTAATAATAATACAAAATCACAATGGCAATAGTGGGTACTTGTATAGCGCTCATGACTGTCAGACTTGACACTTATCGTGCTGAGGATATTGTCTGTGAGACACGATCGAGCGCTGTATATAAGAACCCACTATTTTGTTATTCCATTAATATTCGCACCTGTTGCAGTCATATAGTATAGGGTTTTCCGGCCAAATTCGCGAGTTTGTCATTTAAATTAATTTGTCTTGCGTTCAAATTTGACGGTTTTTAGTGCGGTCAGATATATCTTGGGTTTATATTCCTTTTTCTAGTTTTTCAATTCTATGAAGTTTTCGTTAGAATCTTTGTATGTTTCATTCAAATTGAAGAATAATGTGCTTCTTTCGCTATTTGGTCATTCGATTTGGCGCAACACGATTTCTGACATCGCGAAGGTGTACTTTTAGCATAAGAATTCATTTGTAGCATTCAAATTAGCACTTTGTGCACTTAAATTGATGGTAAATATACATTTCTCGTTTATTACACACTTTTTATAATTCATTCTTTTTCTTTTAAGATTGTTTTTTCCATGTGTATTTCACCATATTTTATTTTCTTGCATTTATACACTTTATATACTTTTAGATTTATCTGATATTCATTATCCTTTAAGTTTGATTGTTAGGAAGAAAAAAAAACGACTTACATCTACGGACTTGATGGTCTCAATATTTTTTTTAATTTTCATGTATGGAAGTTGGTTGTCTTGTGTTTCATCATAAATTTATCACAATTTCATTATGGAGGAATGGTACAATATTGTGACTGGGGTAGGTATTTTTATGTCCCCACTTTTCCGGGGTATATGAACATGTCCGTGCAGAAATGCCATATCCCTTGATTTCGCCCCTCCTTTACCCCCGGCCTTTACCTAATGTCTGACTACACCCATATGCATTATCCTCAAAATTAATAAATGGAATAACAGAAAAGACCCTGATGGCAAATTATGCATTTAATTGCATTTTTTTTAAAACTGTAAACGTGGGTTGTTTTTCTTCCCCCTAACATTTCTAACTTGAATAAACATAATTCGAATACGAATGACAGGTGTTAATTTGAGTGATAATAATGACGCCTCGACAAGTGACGGTTAATTTGAATGCTAGTTGAGCAGTTTCTAAATTAAAATGACAGATCTATGAAACACTTCGACCAAAATTCTAAATTGAATACCAAATCGGGAAAATTGAATGATAATTGGCATGGCAAAGCCGATCTACGCTAACTTAAATGCAAATTAACTAAATTTGAATGACAAACTCGTGAATTTCGCCGGAAATCCATAGTTGTAAATAACGTTCATGACATTGTAAATTCCCAATTTACAATGTTCAGAGCAAATACAGTTGCACCCTCCTCAAGCAATTATCGAGGGGGTGGTAAGAAGGACAACATAGAGAAAAGCTAGAGGAAAATAAGAGAGGGACCATCATCAGGGGCGGATCTAGCTTTGTGCTAAGGTGGGAGGGGGGGGGGGTGACCCAATGACGATGCGGATCATCGTCCATGAGCCGCGTAGCGTCGATGTGATTTTTTGTTGTTGCTATTTTGAAGTGATGTTTTCCTGGCATCTACTAACAGTCTAACACAATGGAGACCATAAAAAGCAGTGCATGATAACGTCTTTTTAAATCAAGTAACAGTATACATGCTCATCACATTTCCACTTGGCAGCCCAAGGGGGATTTCTTTCAGTATTCCTCACTTCCGTTTTCTGAAATTTTTAATATATTAGGTATAGTGTAAACAGTGGCGGATCCAGGGGGCCGCCCCCCCCCCCCCCCCTGGTAAAAAAAAAGAAGGGGAAAAAGGGGGGGGGAAGGAGGAAACAAAAAGAAATATTTTGTTTTTGCTCATCTGACCGTGATTAAATACCTAAGAACCCCTGGGCCCAAAGTCAGGCACCTGGATGCTCATCTGACGGTAATTGAATGCCTAAAACCCCTGAACTCTTGGGTCTCCGACCCCTGGACCCCTCACCAATAAATTAGTGACCTGCCAGTGCCACAAATATTAAAGTATCAAAATATGCTCATCTGACCGTAATTAAATGCCTAAAACCCCTTGACTTCCGGTGGCTCTGCCCCCTGGACCCCACCTAGGGCCCTAAGGCGGACGGCTGGATGCTGATCTGACGGTAATTTAATGCTTAAAAACCATGGGCTTCTGGGGTCTCGGCCTCCTGGACCCCACGCCAGTGTCACAAATAAGGTATCAAAATATGTTAAAATGACCGTAATTAAATGCCTATATACCCCTAAGTTTCCGGGGCTCCGCCCACTCGACCCAACCAGGGGCCCTAAGGCGGGCCCCTGCATGCTTATCTTACAATTATAAAAATGCCTACAACCCCTAAGCTTCTGGGGGCTCCGCCCCCTAGACCCCACGCCAATTAGTGCCCTGCCAGTGTCACAAATAAGGTATAATTATGATCATCTGACGTAATTTATTGCCTAAAACCCTGAGCTTCCGGGGCTCTGCCCCCTGAACCCGACCATTGCCCTAAGGCGGGCCCCTGAATGTTCATCTGACCGTAATTAAATGCCTAAAAAACCCTAAGTTTCCAGGGCTCCGCCCCTCGACCCAACCAGGGGCCCTAAGGCGGGCCCCTGCATGCTTGTCTGACCGTTATAAAATCCCTGAGCTTATGGGGCTCCGCCCCCTAGACCTCTCGTTAATTAGTGACCTGCCAGTATCACAATTAAGGTATAATTATGCTCATCTGACGTAATTAAGTGCCTAAAGCTCTGAACTTCCGGGCTCTGCCCCCTGAACCCAGCCATTGCCCCAAGGTGGGCCCCTGGATGCTCATCTGACCGTAATGTATTGCTTAACACCCCTGAGCCTCCGGGGGCTCCGCCCCTGGACCCCACGCCAATTCGTGACCTGCCAGTGTCACAAATAAGGTATAAAAATATGCTCATCTGACGATAATTTAATGTATAAAACCACTGAGCTTCTGGGGGCTCCGCCCCCTGGACCCAACATCAATTTGTGCCCTGCCAGTGTCACAAATAAGGTATAAAATTATGCTCATCTGACCGTAATGAATTGCCCAAAACTTTTGAGCCTCCGGGGGCTTCGCTCCCTGGACCCCACATTAATTCGTGACCTGCAAGTGTCACAAATGAGGTATCAAAATATGCTCCGCCCTTTGGACACCACACCAATTTGTGTCCTGCCAATGTCACAAATTAATAAGGTATCAAAATATGCTCATCTGACAGTAATTAGATGCCTATAGCCCCTGAGCTTCTGGGGGCTCCACGCCTTGACCCCCGCCGAGAAACGTTCAGCGGGGCCTGCATGTAAGAGTGGGGTGATTGGGATTTTGTTTGTTTACCCCCCCCCCCCTAAACGTTTTTGCCACTGCCGGTGTCACCATTACGTACCAATATTTTGGCTCGCATAATCCCCCCTAAGAAACCTGGATCCGCGCCTGAAGCAGGCTAATATGATTTTAAAAAAACTATTTACCAAAACATTGTCGAACAACCATATTTCAGAGTTTATAAAACATCATAAGCCTGAACATGTCTCGGCTCCTTTTATATAGGAAAGACTTACCTAAATACATCACGTGTGAAAATTGAAATGATTGTCATCATTACCTTGTTTCCTCAGGACTTTTAAAATGAAATATATATGTATTTTTACAATGATATACATTCGCACTATTTTTTTTCTTCCATATTTTTCCCTCCACATGGATTTTATTGATTTTCATTTGAAACAAATTAACAAACATATATTCAAGGTAACTTACATTTATAACATAAATAAAATTGGCTTCTCAAGATACAAGTATTGTTGAACTGTTAAGTTAACAGAAAACTAACAAATCAATAATTCATTTCTGATATTCATGGAAAGAAAATAAGAATACAGAAAAAATATTTTATGTAAACAAATTCCTTAATTGAAACCATTTTCTTGGGAATTTATTATTTCTACAATTCGAATTTGCAATATACTTTTCGTTTTTGAAGTAATTTATAATCGAAACTCTAAAATTATCAAAGTCGGGCAATTGTTTCTTTATTTTGCAAGTATACACCATCTGTCGCACCACAATCAGTATAAAATTCAATGCATAATTATTTGAACCTCTCAAACCAAATAATTTATCTTGTAATGAAAATGTTAATTTATTTCCGGTTCCAGTATAAATCCAGTGCTCTAACCTATCCCAAATATGTTTAACATGCGTACAGTCACATAGCAGATGTATAACTGTTTCAATCTGTTCATTACAAAATGTACATTCTTTTCTTGCGAATAAATTCATTTTAAACAGTAGATCGTTCGTATATAATATGCGTTGCAAAACCTTAAACTGAAACCAACGTAAGCCCACATCAATGGTACAATTAAATCCAATAGAACAATATGTTTCCCAACTCTTATCATTCAGGTCGAAAATGCATTTCCATTTAAGAAAACTTTTACATAGTCCTTTTCTTCTCTTTAATAAAATTGCATAGATATGTGAACATCCTTTAATACGTTTCATAACAAATGCCATTGTATCTGGGAAAAGAGGTTGTGGCACCTTGTTAAAAATAGTACAATTGTTAAACCCTTGTCTAATTGCATCGCATAATCCACGATAAAAAAGAAAATTTATTTGAACATTATACTTTTCTTGGAAATGTTCCAGAGAGAAAAAAAATCACCATTTGTCTCTAAAATGTCATTGACAAAACGAACTCCCTTTTGACACAATTATATATTATATATTGAACTATTACCTATTTTAATGTAATCATTATTCCATAAGGGTTGGCAAGAGATGTTATCATAATGCATGGACAAGAGCGTATTATAAGCCATGAACATTTCTTTCCCAAAAAAGTTCTTTGTTTTACCTGCTAGTTCCCGAAAATAATTGTTTCCCATATATAACTTTAAATCTTGCAGTTCAGGTAAAAAAAGATTGCAAGAGACAGAGGATATTGCTATCTATTGAGCCAATTACCAATCTCTTAATCCAGGAAATTGTTAATGATTGGTAATGTGTGTATATATCTATCATTTTAACCCCTCCGTCTGAATATTTGTGACATTTGATTTCTACTTATCTTATCAGGTTTCTCCCCCCATATAAATCTATAAAAGTGAGCATTTATATCTTTCAAAAGATTTTCACCAGGATTAGGGAGGAACAAAATAAAGTAGTTTAATGTGGATACCAACAATGATTTGACGACAGTGATTCTTCCAAGAACAGTTAAGTATCGCCTTAACCACAATGTCAATTTGCTTTTGATTTCTTTAAATTTTTCATTATAATTGTGAATTACCAATCTGGGCAAATCCGTACAAAAGTCTATACCTAAATATCTGAAATAATCATCAAACACCCAATTTAGATTTCTTTTAAAAAAGCACCCTCTTTCTTGTTTCAAAATCACATGTGTCTTCTGTATATTAAATTTTAAACCAGACATTGCATTATATTTATCTAAAATGTTTAATGCACTGTTTAATTCCATTACTGACCCGTTCAATACGGTTAGAAGAGTATCATCTGCATATTGAATTATTTTAAGTTGTCTATCAGGTAGGCTCAAACCAACAATGGAATCGGATTTTCTAAACAAAAGACCTAGTATTTCGGCGCATAATAGAAAGATAAGAGCTGACAGGGAATCTCCTTGACGACAACCTCGCTCTATTGAAAATCTTGGAGACAGGTGTCCATTGATTGACAAGATTGAGCGTTTTCATAGAATACATTTACCCATTTTACAATAGAGGGACCCAACTTAAAAAAGTGCAATACTTTCTAATAAAATCATGAGAAATAGAATCAAATGCTTTTTCAAAATCTATAGGCAGCAATAAACCAGGAATGTCATTAATATCAGTATACAATAACAAATCATATAACGGATATTCTCTCCGATGAAGCGCCCTGGCACAAAGCCTTTCTGATGTACATGTATAAGAAAAGGAAGTACGTTCTTTAATCTGTTTGCTATACAAGCGGAACCTAATTTATACACCACGTTCAATAAAGATGTGGGTCTCCAATTTTTCAAATAATGTCTATCTTTTTTTTCCTTTGGGACTATCATACTAATCACACTGTGAGAAAATGGATGGTAATTGATATAACTTTGATATCATTAAAGGAGCATGATGCTCCTTGGCTGTATTTACAGATTCTCAAAGACAAGTATAGAATGATAGATCTTCAAGTTAAAAAACACACACAAAAACACACACATGTAATTTGTTCTTTGAAAGAGATATCACCTCTTCTGATGATTGCCAGATTTGCTAATTGAAGTTGCATTTGAACGTAATAATAATTGTGAAATGTTATATGACTAACGCATGTAAGTATTAAACGTAAAATTGGTGACTGGCAGTGGCGGATCCAGGGGGGGGGGGGGGGGGGGGGGGGGGCCGGGGGGCCCGGGCCCCCCCCCCCCCCCCCATGAGAAAAAAATCATGTAAAATCACGTGATTTTTACCTTTTTGGGGGGTTGGGCCCCCCCCCTGGCGCTCAAGGGGGGGGGGTGCAAATTGAAATTTTTTTGAGGATCAAAAAAAAAAAGTGCTCACTACCCCCCCCCCCCCCCCCCCCCCCCCCCCCCCCCCCCCCCCCCCCCCCACTGAGCGAATTTTTGGCCGGCGCGTTTTTCAAATTTTCGGGAGCAAAAAAAAAAAAAAAAAAAAAAAAAAAAAAAAATTGCTCTGTACCTCCCCCCCCCCCCCCCACCCCCCCCCCCCCCACTGAGCGACTTTTCGGCCGGCGCGATTTTCAAATTTTCGGGAGCAAAAAAAAAAAAAAGTTGGGCCCCCTCCCCTAAAAAATCCTGGATCCGCGCCTGGTGACTGGTCACCGATTATACATGTATCTGAAATGTTGAAGGTAACACGGGCTGAGATCTAATTGTATTCATAAAAGTAATATATCGTTTACCTGTTATAATCATTACCTTGTTAAATTTTTTCCATATTCTGAATATGCATTGGATTTTATATCCATTAAAACCAGGAATCCTTATTCATCACCCTAATCATCCTCCTCCGAATCGTCCTCCGAATCGTCATCTTGGTCTTGGTCATTGAATATTTCGTCATCTAATATATCCCAATCTTCTGCCGAGAAGACACGAATCCCATCCCCCGTGTGCATGATCACAACGTCGTTTCCATAGTTACCAATGACTGGCCACTCATCTGCCTGGAAGTCTGCTGACACGTCGAGTTCGTCGATGATGTACTCGAGAATACCACCATCTTGCAAGGAATGCTTGGCGAGCGTGACGATGTGGCTGCCCACGAAGGCGGACAGGACGAAGAGGGCGTCACTCTCTGTGCAGGAGATGGATAAGTACATCCTGCCAGGTTCCTTGATTTCATGCTGGATTCTACCGTCTTTGTCAGTGATGATGACGGCTTTCTTATTCCCGCGCAGGAATACCAACTGACCTGTCTTCGCCGCAGCAAGGCTTCTAACCCTATCAAGTGGAACCTCGAAATTATCGGAAGATAACTGAGATAACTGAGATAACTGAGATACTCCTGATAACTGAGATACTCCTGATAACTGAGATAACTGAGTTAACTGAGACCTAGCTAGCGCAGGCGCAGGCATAATGAATTCGCCTATAAAAAAGGGACGAGGCGCCGAGCTTATCTCTGGTTTACCCCTATAGATTTTCGTGGATATTGTGAAGATGGTTGACCCTGCTTTGGGGATTTCCGGTCTTGTTTCACTTCCTTTCGAGTCCGAAGGAGAGAGGGTGCTTTCTGCCTTGCTTGGAGACTCGACACTGCCGCAAGCAGATACTGTAAGAATAAAACAAAGATGAAACAAATTAAAGGCTTGGATTGCAACAGCTGAAAGAATTACAGATCATTGTCTAATATTACTGTACACTTTCATAATTTTATACCATCAAGTTCTTAATCTCATCAAAATATTCAGACACTATAAATTTTTGTGATATCGTTCCTATAGAATATCAAAACAGTACACAAAATTTATTAGTATGTCGGGGCATCGCAATAAAAAAGCTTTGACGAAAGCTTGATACAATAATGAGTAATGTTATACTACATTACATAGTACACATTACGTGCTACGCATCAACCCATACACAGATGGGTGGGTCGGCGTGTAATGTTGGTGTGACTATTTCGAATAAAATCTAATCCATTTGTTAAAGGCCCCCTAAAGTGTTAGCAGCCCCGAAAATGGCAAATTTTCATTTAAATTGTATCATGTGAAAGATGTCATATAAGACACATTTTTGCAAGGATTTTCAAAACAAATGTGTTTGAAGTCGGATATTGATGAAAGAATACAAAGGTTTTTCTGCGTACAACAAAAAACCAAATTATGTATTCTTTTATCAATATTTGCCTTTAAAACACTTTTTTTTTGGGGGGGGGGGACCTTTGCAGAATTGTGTCTTAAATGACATTCTCTTTCAAATTATGATACAATACAAGTGTATCTTTGCAAATAGATTTTTGGCGAATTTGGGGCTCCCAACACTTTAGAGGGGCCTTAAAATTGCTTAATGATTATTAATGCGTTTTTACGTAACAAAGGAAAATGTCTTCACTCACGATGAAGGCAATCTTTAGTACTTGTTATGGCAGGGGGTGGGTGGGGGGGGGGGGGGGGTGGGGGAGGACACATGAAATAGTATCTATTATATGGAAATGTGAGAGGATTTTATATCGCTTGAAAATAACATTTACATCAGTTGACTTTAACGGTTCAATATTTACCTGTCTGAGAGTTGGAGGTTGTGCCAGTGAAGCAGTGTTGCTGACCAAAGGTCACTGCTCTCTTATTTGAGTTACCTTTAACAACCGGTGAGAAAGGTGGTGCATTCACATTTATCGCAGAGGATGTTGTTTTTTGCCGTTTGGTTTCGCTGACCGGTTCGAACCCTGATGAGGTTGCCTGACTTGAACTTGATATGGCTGGCTTGTTATCGGCAACAACGATTCGGGACTGGAAATCAACAGTGAGTCTTGCACTGGGGTTCAGAGGACATGGTGGGACCGCTGTGTGTTCAACAGATGTTGGGAAATCATCCAGTTTCAACCTGTAGAGTTGCGTGCAAGCTGCGTCGGTATCAGCAATGAAAGAGAAGGCTTGGTTCGTCATTGACATGGCCACATCTACCACCTGTTTGATGCTTGTATTAAGTTGAAGCTTCAACCAGATGGACGGGTTGACATCGCTAGACAACAGTTTCTTGTAAATCACCTTCTTGCAAGCAACGTACATCGAGTTTCCATCGGAGAAAATTTTCACAATGTCTTTATTAGGAGGAATCGGAAGCATCTGAGTTTCTCGCCAAATATCCGGCAATGACAGCTTAGCAAAGCGCGCCATTTGCTCTGGCATCTTCGAACCTTCTATCATCATAGATTTCAAAGCCACGAGATCCATAGAAATTGTCATTGTGACATCTGACGCGATCAATTCTTCGAGTTCTTTGAGAACATCTTCAGGTAAGAAGGGACCTCTAGATATGTCAGTAACCTCTTTTGCCGAAACAACCTCTTTAGCCTTTGATTGCGCCCTCGTGAGATTTTCATTTGTTGTGTTCATGTTGTCTCTGAAAGCTTGTAGTTTGACGTTAAGCTTTTCCTCCAACACGTTAATCTTTTGCAAAAGTTCTTCCTCTGCTTTATCCAAATTTTCAACAGCCTTTGATTTCAGGTCCCGAATAATTTCTTTCATCTTATGAAACTTCTGGTTTGCTCCTGTTTCTCGTACATCCACGTCATTTAACATGGTGCTCACATGTTCCTCCTTTTCCTTGCAGCTTTTCAAACGATCTGTTAACTTCTCCTTTGTTTCCTGAAACATCTTCTGCACTGTGGTGCAGTGATGGTCAGGTTTGGTATGGTCGAGAACGATACAGTCCCTGCAGATACGTTTCTTGCATGTTCTGCAGTAGACCGAATTTTCCGTCTCTTTCGTTCGTTAGCCTCTTATTGGGGTAGGGTCGGCTCTCTCTTTAGAGACGGAAGCCGTTTATACACATGTCCTTGCTAACGCCACGGCCAGTTCTGGTCGTAGCGTTTTGCCCCCAAAATCCCCCAAAATGTCATTTTACCTCGAGCATGTTATATTGTAAATTAGGCCTAGGCTATAATAAATCAGTTCCACTTACCAACTTGACTGAAATAATCAGTTTAATAGTCCCTTTTTAGGAAATTATGGGTCAAAATCGAAATCCATGTTGAATCTTTTTCAACATGGATTTCGATTTTGACCCATAATTTCCTAAAAAGGGACTATTAAACTGATTATTTCAGTCAAGTTGGTAAGTGGAACTGATTTATTATAGCCTAGGCCTAATTTACAATATAACATGCTCGAGGTAAAATGACATTTTGGGGGATTTTGGGGGCAAAACGCTACGACCAGAACTGGCCGTGGCGTTAGCAAGGACATGTGTATAAACGGCTTCCGTCTCTAAAGAGAGAGCCGACCCTACCCCAATAAGAGGCTAACGAACGAAAGAGACGGAAAATTCGGTCTAGTTCTGCAGTAGAACCTTCGCAGCTCACCGCCATGCTCTTCGCACTCGTGTGCCTTTCTCCACAAGCCCTCTTCCATCCACTTGATTTGGATAGTCCCGTTCTCAATCTTGTCCAGGGGAACTGTACGGTGATCTTTCATCAAGAGTTTCATTTTAGCATGAGAAGAAGCACAGGAGTCACAGATGAAATGGAGACAGTCTCGGCAGTAGGTTGTCAGAGGTGATTCGATGTCTCCACACGCGTCACACATTATTTGGGTCGAGTTTTTCTTTGCCTCAAGAACTTCGAGAACCCGGTAAATCAGCGGATTAGACTTTAGACCTGCCACACCTTCTCTCGAAAGAGTAGTCACCTCTCTGCACATAGGGCATTTTATACCACCTGAACGGACTGGTGGTGTGTTATCGCACTGCTTTAAACATTCTTCGCAGAAAGTATGCCTGCATGAGAGAGATTTGGGGTTCTTTAAAGTGTTCATGCAAACGGCACAGACAAGTTCACGGACGAGTTTTTCCACAGCTTTTGCCGCCATTTTCTGTAGAATTTCTATATTTCAACAGGCCCCGATTACGCGTGCTAACTGGTCGACACACAATTATCAAATGTAAAGCCGGAACAGAATGACTCCTGTCCATTAATGCAATATAATGATCGATGACTATAACGCGTTGCGTGTATTACTGGTAAAACGTACGGTGGGAATCCCCATCGCTAATATTAAACATTAGAATCAAATAAGTTTCTTCAATGCTAAAATTAAACTGTGGAATTCCCCACTCCCTTTTTAGAATCGAGGTTGGATATGAAAACAAATGAGGGCGCTGTTTTTGTTCTCTTCAAGGTTTTAGCTTTGTCATTTCAATAATATGAACATTCAAGTTTTCTTCATATTTCATAGAAAAAATGATGTGAAAAATAGCGTAAAAGCCTATTCACCCTTTAAAAAAACTATCTACTGTAAATCACCCCCGTGATCTGTCTATTTATGGAGAATTCATTTTCACATACATTACAGCCTACGTCAGTCATGATGAATTTACAAATTTCTTTGACTTCGGAATAAAATATCAATTTGTTTTTACCGAACTTATTGTTAGCTTGAATTTGTTACCCCTTTGGGAGTAGGTCCTAATTTGTTTTCCTACATGTTTGATGGTTTTGCTGCAAATACATTTGAGCTCTCTTTCTTCCTTATTTTAACCTATACCGACGTATCTTATAGGATTTAAAACCAGTAGGTTGCGGGGGCATGGGGGCACGTACCCCGCCTCCGTCCATTCGAAAGGAGAAACAGAGAGGCAAGAGAGAGAGAGGAGAGATGAAAGAAAAGGAAACTGCACTTGAGACAATATTATCTTTGTACACCATTATGTGAGCTATTTGCTTTGGAAATCGACACAACTTTAAGAAAATTGATATAACCAATACCTGATACTCTACTCAACTACCCGACATCAGTATCACTGGCTTAAAATCTTGTATACATAACTTGGATAGTGAGGTAAACATAGAGTGTATATTGTGCCAGTTCTGTGCAGATGTCATTTTTGCTTGTTTCACGTTTCAAATGTATTATATTGCTATATCAGACTGATTCATTTACACATAATGCATTTTTTCTTACCATGATACACTGTATACTGTTTCTTACAATTGTCCTGGATTTAACTGCATGACGATATTAACACCAGGTAACTGTGACCTGCATTAATTATGCATTCAATGTATACACCATTTTCACATTGATAATACTGCGTCTTTGTGATTCATTCAAGCATTTATATTGTACAATTAACGTCAATGTCTGTTACTGTTGTCATATGGTTATAAATGAGATGCAATTTGTGAGCAAGTCCTTTTAAAAATGTTTGGTAAACTACATGGGGTATGGACTATGTTGCGTGTTAACTAGTAATCCCACATAATTCCCTTTTTTAATTAAACTACTAAAAAGCAGTATCCCTCCAGACAAGAAAACACTTAATAAATGATCACATCCAGACAAATTGATTATGGTTAAAAACTGGTTCTATATTCTATAATTTCACATAAGATACAATGATTACAGAATTATCAGAAACCTCTTCTGTCTATCTCAACAGTGACAGACAAGTATCACTAGGCCCTTGGTAGTTACTATTAATAATCAAACATAGATAACTTCCAACAGCACATTAATGTAAAGGAGACTCACTTAGTCACTATGGTATTAATGATTACCGCTGAATACAAGTCTCGAAATATCAGGAGTCTAGCTGTTCAGTACAACTTAAAACAGTACTAAAACAAGTCAGTTAAATATCATTCCCACTGCATGAATAATAACAGTCAAGAAAATACTACTCAAATCTAAGCTAGACAGCGTTTAGATTTACTTACATAGGCACGAAATATTGTGGTTCAAGAAACCGCTAAACAAATCTCTACTTGTGTATGTGTACGGAATGCACAACACGAGAATACAACAATATATCGGTGGATCTAGACTATAGCAGATCTAGATCAGTAGACCAGGTATAGGCCTAGAACTAGTGCAATTATAAACATGTAAAATATGTGTTAGTAAGCGTACGTACGCACTCAACAACAGGCACTCAGTCAGTCAAAATAAGGCATCACAATGAAAAACAATGCAAAGCATCAATCACAATATAATTAACGTTACGTGAGTCATCGGAGTTGAATTCAGAGTAGATCTTCTTCAAGTTCTAGATAGATGTAGAAACTAGCTAGTCGAAAACGGTGGTCGATGAGCTGGTTGTCGATCGCGTAGAAAATGCAGACGATGATCGACGCTAGATGAATACCACGATGATGAAGACGATGTTGAAGACAACGATGATGACAACAATGATGAAGACGACGCTGGTGAAGACAGCGATGATGAAGTCGACGATGAAGACGACGCTGGTGAAGACAGCGATGATGAAGACAACGGTGATGAAGACAACGATGATGAATCAGTTAACAGATGAATACAATGATGATGCAGTCAATGTCAATAGATCAACTTCAGTGACTTGCGATGCAGGTCGAAGAATCAAATGTCGAGACAAAATATATGAAGTCGATGATAAAAGGTTGTCAAACAATAATGCAGGTGAGAAAAACGTTAGATCATATTAAATGTTCTATTCTCACTGCTGGTGAATTAAAGTGTCGTCAATGTTGAACATCGAGAGAGTCAAAATATATCTTGCAAAACGTACAAGATGTAAATAGGTGAGCACGTCCACCGGGAATGGTCCGGGGACGTAGCAGTTCAATCCTCGTTGGATACAATTTTCTAGGTACAAATATCAACACAATCAGCATGTGTGTATACCAATATTAAAACAGCTCACTGATTCCCGCACAGGAAAATCAGAAGAGCGCCAATCAACTACAGCGCGATTGGTTCAAAACAAGCGCACATGTATGTTAATAAGGCACGTGATCTAAATACTTATGAATAAATACGCGTACATCTATGTTAATTGGTCATGTGATCAAAATACTAATGAATAAACATCGTTATATAATAAATCGAGTTAAAACCAGTTCTGAGGACATGGCGTAATACCAAATCCTCGAACTCTCAATGACTTCTAAAGCGGCCATTTTGGATTAAAAACACAATATGTATACCAGTGAATTATAAATGAATGCACTGTAACATTTGTCGCTACAAATGTTAATCCACCCACACGTCAGTAGCACTAAGGTGTAACGAAGGCCTACCCCGAGTTCTGAGGGGGGGGGGGGGGTGGGTGTTTCACAAAACTTGTCATCAGTGACAAATGAGTTTTCATTATAAGCTACTAAAATCCTTGCTCCTGATTACCAATAGAAAATCATGTCATTTATTATGAATCAAATTCGAAAGATTAAATTGAACAATTATAATAGTTAGCTTTCTCCTCCACAATTTGCACTAGTGAAACTAAAAGAAAAGTGTGCTTAAAGGTCCCCTTCCATTGACCATCGGTAGCTCATCTTATCCTCCAAAATAATGTGAAAATTTTCCGATGGAATCTGTACCGACAACTGTGAGCGTGACGATGTTGCTGCCCCAGAAGGCGGCAGAATGTAGAGGGCGTCATTCTCTGTGCAGGACATGGACAAGAACATCCTGCAAGGTTCCTTGATTTCATGCTGGACTCTCCCGTCTTTGTCAGTGATGACAACGGCTTTCTTATCCCCGAGCAGGAACACCAACTGACCTGACTTGGCGGCTGCAAGACTTCGAACCCTATCAAGTGGAACCTCGAAATTATCTGGAGATAACTGAGACCCTTTTTTTACAGGATTACTACCAGTGGAAAAACCAGTTGAGCTTATTTCAGGTTTACCCCTATAGGTTTGCATCGATGCTGTGAAGATGGATGGGGGGTAGTGAGCTCTATTTTTGTTTGACTCAACACCCCCCCCCCCCCCTTGAGCGCCGGGGGAGGGGCACGTCTATTTTTTTTAAAAGGCAAAATTAACATTACCATTTTCTTGTTAAAACCTATTTTTTGGCCAGGGGAGGGGCCCCGGGCTCCTCCTGGATCCGCCACTGAGTGTAAATGACTATTTTCAAACCAACTTCCGTGTCTTGATGACATCAAAAACGTATTTAAAATTTCAAAGCACCATGGAAGACATACAGAAACGGGGGAAAATTCCTTTTTTATTATACTACCTTATACATTTTGATTGCAATCAAACGACAATCAAGGGGGTAATGACTGATTATGAAAAACATATGGCCTTTTTAATCCTGAAGTATGAGAAAGCAAAACAAGGAAACAAATTTTAGTGATAAGTAGTATTATACATCGTTTATTATATGCTAAAGTCTTAATTCTGATATGCTAAAGCAGCGTATACTATTATTTTCATATAACTCTTGTATTGTAACGGCCATCTTAATTCAGCAAAGAATGGTTTATAGGCTGTGACCATAGACATATATATGTGTTAGTAGTATATAGCTCTATGGCTGTGACCAAACTACACGGAAACTATTTATTTTCTCCAGAAATGTTAATGAAACCACTCCCAATATTGATTCCTAGGTCTAGAATTTAATAGATGATTTCTTTTATACGTGCCATAATTCCAATGCCTATAATCATGATAATTGTGAGCATCGAGATTAATACCATAGCAAATAAAGAACATGTGATTGGTATTTTTTAGATCGTAGTTTGTTTTTTTGTTTTATTTATTCACCATGTAAAATAACTGTTTACAGATAAAAACAAATACAGTGGGTTACTTTGATAT